AAACAATAGGGTTTTATACAAAACAGCTTTTCAATATTTAAGTTTGTATATTAGTTTTCAATTACAATTTATAAATATGCCGAGTTTTTGTAGGGATAGTATTAGAGAAAATATTATTCGCGTTTTAATTTTGTACCAATTTGTTAAATATATCATACATTTCACTCGAACCATTTGAAAGTTAGGAGAGATTAAATAAAAAAGTGCTTAAATGCACTGGAGATTGAAGTTACTTGTACTATATATAGTACTGCGTGTAAATTGGGCCAAGGATTTTTTGTATGGTGAAAATTGATGTGGGGTATCAAATGAAAGGTCTTGGTGAAAACTTTAAGAATATCATGGTTAGATGCTCTTTCAGGTAAGAGGGTTCTCTACAAGACAGTTTTAGGGTATGTTTTATTTTTTGTTAATTTTTAAAAGTGATTTTAAACTTTGCCGGGTTTCTATAGAAGTATTACTATAGCTAGTATTATTCTTAATTCAATTTTGTACGAATTTGTAGAATATTTCATAAATTTTAATAAACCGTTTACAAGTTACAAGAGATTCAATAAATAAATGCACAAACGATTTGCTTGTTGTGAGAGTGTAGCTGCTCGTACTATTTATAGTACAGCGTGTAAATTGGGTCAAGAAATTTTTTATATGGCAAAAAACTATGTGGGATATCAAATGAAAGGTCTCGACAAGCACTTTGAGAATATCATAGCGAAACACTCAAGAAAGCAATAGGGTTCGGTACAAAATAGTTTTTGGTTATTTAAGATTTTATTTCAATTTTCTACTACGATTTTAAAGGATACCGAATTGCTATATTAAAGATATACTAGAAATTTGTACAAATTTGTCAAATATTTCACATATTTTGAACTAACTCGTTTGCTAATACAGTCGTTGTTCAAGTCGCTCATACTATACATAGTACTGCGTATAATTTGGGTCAAGAATTGTTTTCTATGACAAAAATCGATGGGGTTATCAAATGAAAGGTCTAAACGAGAACTTTTAGAATATCATAGTCTTAGATCCAAGAAAACAATAGAGTTTCGTACAAAATAGTTTTTAAAGTATATAATATTATTTTGTTTAGTTTTAGGTACGGCGATTTGAATATACCGACTATCTATAGGGCTGCTACTGTAAAAATTATTGTAACAATTTAATTTAAAGTAATTTGTCAAATATTTCATTCTTTTACAACTAAACTTTAAGTAGTTAAAAGATTTCTTAAAGAGATTTAAGAAATAAATGCACAAACGATTTGCTTGTTCTGTGTGTGCAGTTGCTTGTACTATATATAGTACAGCGTGTAATTTGGGTCAAGAATTTTTTATATGGCAAAAGTGATGTGGGGTATCAAATGAAAGGTCTTGACGAGCACTTTACGAATATCATAGTCAAAAACTCATAAAAGCAACAGGGTTCCGTACAACCAAGATTACTAAAATCTAAACCGACTTAAGTCATCTCTTTCCATCAACACTGTATCAAGCTGACATCACTTACACAAAAACATTCCATTACGACTATGACACCACCACCAACCTCCATAGATGAGCTCTTATATGGCATTCTGTTAACTTACCCCTGGGGTTCGACCACCGGGCGGTCGGGCGGTTAACCCGGCTCATCGTGTGGCGGTTTCTTCGGTCAATTGTGCCCTCTGAACCGTGTGATGGCATCACACAGATAACAACTATAGTTTGTCATGTACGAAGAAAAAAAGTATGGACATTGTGCAAGGAGTGGAAGAATTGTTTGATATCTCTCTTTGGGTAATAGATAGATGACACTATGTGTAATACATATATAACTTTGGTACTGTATTTATTTATTATATGTGATGACATTATGGGGGTTTATGGCAATATTTAGTACATACATGTGTTTTTGACAGTAATTTTCGTATAGTGCTCGTCGAGACCTTTCATTTGATACCCCACATCGATTTTGGCCATATAAAAAATTCTTGACCCAAATTACACGCTGTACTATATATAGTACGTGCAACTTCACTCTTGAATTTATAGAAAAAAATTGTACAAAAACCAAGTAGTTTTTTGAAACTTAAACCATAATATTCTAAAAGTGCTCGTTGAAACCTTTCATTTGATACCCCACATCGATTTTTGCCATATAAAAAATCGTTGACCCAAATTATACGCAGTACTATTTATAGTACGCGAGCAACTTGACTCACGACTGTATTAGCAAAGTTAATTTAATAGTTTAGAGTTAGAAAATTTGTATAAAATTTATATAATAACTCTTATATAGCAACTTGGTTTTCTTTAAAATTATAGTAGAATTAAATTGAACTAAAATCTTAAATAATTAATGTATTGTACGGAACTCTATTGATTTTTTGAGTATTTGACTGTGATATTCTAAAAGTTCGCGTCGAGACCTTTTATTTGATACCCCACATCGATTTTTGCCATACAAAAAAATTCTTGACCCAAATTTAACGCTGTTCTATATATAGTACAGGGAACTACAATCTCTTCTAACTTTTAAATGGTTCGAGGTAAATGTATGACATATTTGAGTAATTTGTATAAAATTAAAATACGGATAATGTTTCCAAGAGTAACTCTCACGAAGAAACCCTGTATTCTTTTAAATCGTAGTAGAATATTGAAACTAAAATCTTAAATATTCTAAAACTATTTTGTGCGGAACCCTTATGTTTTTTTTTAGCCATTGTCTATAATATTCTAGACGTGCTCGTTTAGACCTTTCATTCGATACCCCACATCAATTTTTGCCATATAAACATTTCTTGACCCAAATTAGACGCTGTACTATATATAGTACAAGTAACTTCTATCTCTTAAACGCTTCGAGCGAAATGTATGATAAATTTGACTAATTTGCACAAAATTAAATTGTGAATATACTTTTCTACAGTAACAACCCTATAGATAGTCGGTATATTTCAAAATCGTACTTGAAAACTAACAAATAATCTTGTATACTATAATCTTTGTTTAACATTATAATACTCCACAGCAACTCTCAATACTCAAAAACGGCTTTTGAAAAGTAATAAATATTCACGATGGTGAGAATGAGTAACTTTAGGTGTGGAGCACTAAGCACATTTATAGGTTATATTTAGGATAACCTCAAAACTAAACGTGTTACACAAATAATACATAAAGCAAGTGTGCAAAATTGCACAATCTAAAATATTGTCTAACATCATAAAACTTTACAACCACTCAGTATACTTAGAAACTGAAAGACATTGAAAACTGATAAATAATATCTATGATGAAAATGAGTAAAGTTAGGCATTTACCAAAGTACATTTATAGGTTGTATTATGTATAACTTCAAAACTGAGCGTGCAATTTAAAAAGTACATATGACAAAAATATGCAAAATTTAACAATCTAAAATATTGTCTAACATCAAAATACTCCACAAAAACTCAGTATACTCAAAAAACGGCATTGAAAAATGATTAATAATCAGAATAGTGTAAAGCACTTTTATAGGTTATAACAAACATAACCACAAAACTAAACGTGTTACGCAAATAATATATAAAGCAAAAATGTGCAAATTTAAATAACCTAAATAATTGTCTAACATCACAACACTCTACAAGAACACGGTATACCCAAAATCTTTGGAAACTGATAAATATTCACGATGGTGAGAATGAACTTTAGGTGTGGAGCACTAAGCACATTTATAGGTTATATTTAGCATAACCTCAAAACTAAACGTGTTACACAAAAAATACATAAAGCAAAAGTGTGCAAAATTGCACAATCTAAAATATTGTCTAACATCAAAATACTCTACAAAAACTGGGTATGCCAAAAACGGCATTGAAAAATGATAACTAATCACGATGGTATGAAGTACTAAGCACATTTATAGGTTATATCATACATAACCTCAAAACTAAACGTGTTATACAAATAATATATAAAGCAAAAGTGTGCAAAATTGAACAATCTATATAACTGTCTAACATCACAACACTCTACAATAACTCGGTAAGCATACAAACGGCTCCGAAAATTGACAAAACGTGTCAAAGCTACTAAAGAATAACATTAGGCGTTCCTCAAGGTCGAACACAAAGCACTCTCACTTACCACAAACACACATTGCAAAATTAAACAATCTAAATAATGGTCTAACATCACAACACTCTACAAGAACTCGGTATACCCAAAATCTTCTTTGGAAAGTAACAAATAGTCACAATGGTGAGAATGAGTAAGTTTTGGGTGTTGAGCACTAAGCACACTTATAGGTTATATCATATATAATTTCAAAATTAAGCGTGTAATCCAAAAACTATATTCGGCAAAATTGTGCACAATAAAACAATCTAAATAATTGTCTAACATCACAACACTCTACAAGAACTGGTATATCCAAAATCTTCTTTGAAAATTGACAAATATTCACGATGGTGAGAATGAGTAACTTTTGGGTGTGGAACACTAAGCACACTTATAGGTTATATCACACATAACCTCAAAACTAAACATGCTATAGAAAAAGCACATTCCGCAAAATTGTGCGCAATAAACAATCTAAATATTGTTTAACATCACAAAACTCTACAACAACTTGCTGCACCTACAAACGGCTCCAAAACTAACAAAAAGTATCCACGTTCTTAAAAAATAATATTAGGCGTTCCTCAAGGCTTTACACAAAGCCCTCTCACATACCACAAAAACACATAAAAAACCTCTTACCTTGTGCAATATTCTTCCTCCTTGCTCCAGGCGGCGGTCTACCAGTTGTAACCACCAAACCGCCACCTCCGACAGCTCCAGAACCGCCTCCAGCAGCTGCTCCATCAGCAGACAGCTGATTACCACTTTGCCCAGGGGCACCACCACTGGCTACATTCTGTCCTCCAGCTCCCGGCAACAAATTAGGAGCTGGTGGTATCGCAGCAGATTCTCTGAAAAACTGATCTTCGTCGTAGAAGTCGTCGTCTTCGTCCAACGTTTCGCTCATTGGAGGTTCGTCCTCTTCAGGAGGACCGTCGTAGCGGTCTTTGAGGACTTTTCTCGGAACTAAATAAAGAACAATTTGTAAAAAAAATGAAATTTTGTTAATTTGTTTTATTTATTATTTGTTTTGCTTACCGCAGGTGTAGACAACCTTCAAGTACATCCGAGATTGCGGTCGACAGGGGTTGCCAAAAGTGGCGGCGTCTGCCGATAGAGTGCAGCGCCGTTTTCCGTGGCAGATCTGCATGACGGTTTCTGTAGCGTAGCTCATTAGACAAGCTAAAATAAAAATTGAGTAATTGATGAACTAAATATATATTTTTAAATAAATAATTTATGTAAGTACTTATGTAAGACTATTTTTTAGTGTATAAGTATACTAGTAGAGTTCTTTCTTCAGACTTATTGAATACTCGTGTTCGCGCCATATCAAAGGGTGCGATATATATTGATAGAAAAACAAAAAATCATCAATCGATAATTATACAAATAAATCAAATCAACCAATACGTTACCAAAACCAATATTGAACTTTTATATAAAATACGAATTTAATTTGTAATCAACAGAAAATAAATACATAAGTATACGAATTAAAGTGTTTATAACAAATTTGGTCCTTCAAAAAGTAAAAATTCAATAAAAACAACATTGTAAAAAACAACTCGGTTAAGTATAGAGTTCCTAGTTTTATTTTTAAATTGTTTTTGTTGTATATCGTTAGCAAGTTTATATTGTTTTTTAATTCTAGTTTTAATATGCTAATGTTTTTTGCACTTATTGAAATCTTTAAAAGACTCTCAAGTTGCTTGTTGGACGTTTGCTTGTCAGTAGAGTTTCTTTTTGTTACAGAGCAATCAATGATTACATCGTTTGCCTCGATATAGACTTTTTGCTTCTAACTTCCGTAAATTATGCTACTGAATCATACTGAATACTGTCAAAATGACCATGTGGTTGCTGTTCATTCAGGCGTTTTACACATAAACTGCAACTGTCACTCGTATGTTATGAACTCGAGTCAGAAACCTCATGTTATCTATGATCGTTTTTTGGCACTTGTGCGGTTTCTATGTTAAATTTTTATCTGACAACCTGAGAAATACGCCTGAGTGCACGGCAACCGCATGGCTTTGTCAATATTACTATGGAATGTTTTTTATAACATAGCCTTGCCATAGCATTGTTCTGTTATGCGGCAGAATCGGTCCCATAATATCAGTTGTTTGTCAGCAAAGTCGTTTTCAACTGTTTTTTTTTAGTAAAACTGTTATTCTGCAAAGTTATCTATATATTTATTAAATTAAATAAAATGGTAGACCAGCAACTTGCCGATAGTCATCCCTAAGGATAAGGTTTAGTTACATGTGAAACATTGATAAATAGATCTCAAACATAAATTTATAAAAAAAGAGACTCTACTGACAAACCAAGTCAATTTAAAAAAAATTTACTCTTTTGACGAGCAAACCAATATTGATAAAAAAGAGATTATATCCAAAAAAGGGACTCTACTGACGAGCAAACCGAATTGGATAAAAAATGAGATTGAATACAAAAAAGGGATTCTACTGACGAGCAAACCAAATTTAAGAAAAAAAACGTAAGATGCCAAATAAGGACTCTATTGACGATAAAAACAAATTTAATGAAAAAGGTAGATTATATGCGAAAAATGGACTATACTGACAAACAAAACGGATTTGAAAAAAAGAGAGATTATATCCTAAAAAGGGACTCTACTGACCAGCAAATCCAGTTTGGAAGAAAAAGAAATTATATACAAAAAATGAACTCTACTGAGTAGCAAACCAATTTTTTTTTAAAATGAAACTAGTTACAAGAAAGGGACTCGACTGACTAAAAAATCGAACTTGAAAAAAATTATTAAATACAAAAAAGGAACTCGACTGACGACCAAACCAAGTTTTAAAAAAAAGATACAGAAAAAGGACTCTACTGACGAGCAAACCGAATTTAAGAAAAAAGATTCGATACAAAAAGGGACTCTACTGAGTAGCAAATTAAATTTTTTCAAATAAAAATAATTACAAAAAAAACTCTACTGACGAGCAAACCAAACTTGAGAAAAAATAGTGTATGCAAAATAGGAACTCTATACTGACAAACAAAACGAATTTGAAAAAAAAGAGAGACTATATCCAAAAAAGGAACTATACTGACGAGCAAATCGAATTTAAGAAAAAAGATTAGATACAAAAGAGACTCTACTATTTTTTTTAAATGAAAATTGTTATAAAAATAGACTCTACTGACGAGCAAACTGAATTTAAGAAAGAAGATTGAATACTAAAAAGGACTTTCCTGAGAAGAAAACTATTTTTTTTTAAAATGCAAATAGTTACAAAAAAGGGACTCTACTGACCAGCAAACTGGATTTGAGAAAAAAAATTATACACAAAATAGTATATCCATATTTTCATTGCCGGTATTTAAGATAATTATTTTTGTTTGTCAGTAGTGTTCTCTTTTTTTTCTTTCGGTGGATTTTTATTTTTGCTCGTAAGAGTAATAATTACTTTTGCTCGTTAGCAAAGAGTAATAATTATTTTTGTTCGTCAGTAGAGTTCTTTTTTGTTCCCGGATAATTATAATATCATGCAATACGTTGTTCATTAGTTTGCAATAAAAAAACGGTTTTTACCTGTAAATCTAGATTCAATTGCTTTGTCAGTAGGGTTTTTTGCTTAAAAATTAAGTAAATATTTGATTATTAAAATATACATATAAAATGTCGAAAATAGATTTTTACGAATTTTGTAATTTTGCTCGTCAGTAGAGTTATTAAATATTTTATTAACATTTTATGTCATGCCGTAGCTTGCTCGTAAGTCAAGTTCTATATTATTATAGAGTTATCTATATATATATATATATATATATATATATATATATATATATATTGAGTATAGAATCAATTTGCTTGTCAGTAGAGTTCCATTTTTCTATTTGTTGGATATTAAAATATTTTGTATGTCCGGTCGCAGCTTGCTTGTCAGTAGAGTTCTACCTTGTCGTAAATCGTATTACTAATTTTTTGAAAGAACAATTTCAAAAATCTTTACGTTTGAAAAATTTCTGAACATTCTGGTATACTTTAGAAGGAATAAATGTTTTTGTATGTCTTCGTGTGTGTTTGTATGGTTACAAGATTGCGTAAAATTTTAAGTTTCACTTATATACTTGAAAAAAAAAGTTTATATTATTTTTAGAAATATGAGAGAAGATTCTTCATTCTAACTCTGCTCGAACAAGTTTTGTTTGGTAACTGTTTTTTGTAAAAATATATAAACGTAGTCGTGCAATTTATAAGCTCTTATATTTTATCTATAAAATACGAATACTGAAAGTTACAGTATTTGTAATAATATATTTGAAAACGTTTAAAATTTAATCGAATATTTCATTACGGTACGGGAAGTTCCAGCAATTTGCCTTAAGGCACAATGCCATACACCACTAGTCACTTATTTATTGATGAAGTTTTAGAAGTCTTTTGCATAAAGTTTGTTTTTTGTTTCACAACAATTCCAAATTGTATCCTATAACTTACACGACAATATTGTGTAATAAGAAGAACCCAAAACATGTCTCCGTTACAACCAAAACACAATCTTAAAATAACTCTCTCAAAATCCTTCCTCCGTGCTTCCGACATTTATTAATACTTTAAAATAACTAAAATCCTCTGAAAAGTCGTTCGAAATAAAACAAAACAACAAACAACCCTCGGAAGCAACTATCTCAACCCTCTCACCCCGGGATTGGGGTGACAATCGGGAACATTTAGCGCAAAAATAAGGGGACAGTTTTCGAAAAAGTGCTTATACGGCGGTATTTTAGACTCAGTATAGCTGCTGCAGCAGCTACAGCACCGCAACAATAATAGTGCACAATAATAAACTACGAAAAATTCAGGGGTCGGTGTAAAACTTACTCACATAGGAAAATAAAAAGGGTAATAGTCAATGAGTTGGCAGTAATGCTCTGTCAAAAAGCTATGTATTTACTGTGCGATCTTGATAAAAATCTGTCGAACCGTTTATTTGTAAATAAATGTCCCGTACTGTAATTAAGATTTAAAGCAATTAAAATTTATGATTAATTTGAATATATTCATATAGATTATTAAAAATGCTATTAATATTTTTATACTGCTGCGACCTTAAAGCACAAAACACTTTAACATGTATAAACAGAACCTTCCAATATTTTTAAGAATTATTTAAAAAAACGTTTATAAAAACTAAATACATTTAGAAACTGAATTGTTAACTAATAAGTAAAACTGTATTATTCATTTAAAGTATTTGTGAGCTGTTGAATTTTTGAAATTTAAAAAAACTTTGTACATTTTCGAAAATTTTAATAAAATATGAATCATTTTCAGTTAAAAAAAAAAGAAAATGTGTATATTATTAGAATTTTGATTTTTTTAAATCATGAAAAAATTGATTCTTTCAAAATTAAATTTTATCAAAAATTTTATCAAAACGGAAGTTTGTAAACAATGAAAGTTTGAATTTTTGGAAATTTTGAAATGTTTTGAATCCGCGCCAGCAATTGGAAAACCAGTCTCTACCAAAAACTAAACGGTGAAAACATTTTTGACTTTGAATATTATTTTTTTAAAAAATAATCTCTGTATTTCCGGAATTGCTTGATCTGCCTTCCCAAAATTGTTATCAATTTTTAACTATCCGTAATGGATGGACCGATTTCAAAAATTTAAAAGCCATTCGATGTATTTCGATGAGGACTATTGTTTGTCAATTTTGTGCCACGATCGGCCAAGCCGTTTCTTCATACATCGCAAAAAAGATGAAAATTTTCGTCTACGTTGCAGCCCGCAATTCTGAATCGATTTAAAAAACTCAAAAACCGTTCGAAATATTTTGGTTGGGAATCGTGCTGATTAGTTTTTGGTAAAGATCGGCCGGGCCGTTTTCTTGTAATAAAGTTTTCAAAAAAAAAAAATCGACGATTTTTATGATTATTTTTTTGACGGTAGATACCATAGTCTTCTAGATCATACTAAAATATTACTGCCCTACGACAACTCGTTTATCTTTAAAAGTTCGTCAAAGAAAATTTAGAAAATACTCCGAGTTAACGTGTTTTTTTGTTTTCAATTATGTGTAATAAATCCACTCGTAATACTTCTAATCACTCATTGATTAATTTATATTTTATTGATTAAGTTGATTATATACACATATCGGGAAGTTCATGTAACTTGCCTCAAGGCAAAATACCAA